TTCCAGATGGAGACTTTATACAAAAGTCGATTGCTTGGGTACCACTGTCCCATTCGTGTTTCTACCGTGAAGCAGTTGTGTTTGCATGACTGTGTTTCGGTTTGAAGGGTGGGACATGGCGTGAATTTACAGGGTACAGAGGAATAACATCTGAGTCCTCAGGGATGGCAAAGAATGGGGGTTATCATGGGCGAAACAGTATACTCTGTTATATCCACGGTACTGCTCATGTCTATAGGCGACGGTTACCACTTTCCATCAGGTGAACCGTCAGTTTGTTTGCCGTTCTAAGTTACATAAAAAAAAAGTTCAATTACAAATACAGATCCGTCACGTATAAATATTTACAAAACACGCACACTAGTGTAATTACTTGTCTCGTTTTCGTGATTACATTCTACAGTCTGTCAATACACAGTACGTTATACTACGTCTATGTATTAAAGGCGACAATTACCGCCCTCTATCAGGTTTAATCAAAAATTAGTTCGCCGTTTTGAGTTACAAAAAAAAAAAAAACATTCATCTGTACAAGTTATTTTCAAGTGTACTCGAGACTGAAGACTAAAACCAATGCATCTTGAAGCGTCGCCAGCCTCTCAGCCGATCAGTACTCTGTGCTAGTGTGCCCACAGTCGACCACTCAAGCAAAGTGCACTATTCTAAGAACGGCCGCCATTGTTGGTAACTTTACGAGCGGATAGACGTATGAACGGTGGCTTTAGATTCACGACGCGGTATTACAAAAAAAAAAAAATATGTCAACAGACTATTTACATGTTCGTTGTTAAAAAATGGCGTGATTTGTTTTTTTTTTTTTTGCACATTTTTAGCGCGGTTTTATATTAGAAAAATGTTTGTCATTATAAAATAATAAGATACTTTACTTTTTTTTTTTATAAGGGCTTTTACCTTATTCAGGTATATCTGTCCTATCGTACCCTGAACTGATTTCTTAAATACAGTTTTATCTACTTTCCCTAGTCACCGCAAGAGAGGAATTAATGGGCATTAATAATTTACACAGATTTTAAAAAATCTCTGTTTTGGGTTAAGCTAACATAGATTGAATAAGACCAATATTAAATTTATTCAAGTTAAAATGGCGCGTGAATTCTTCTCTTTCCTTCGTGTTAATACGACACTCTAATAGAATATGATGCACGTCATCGATGGTATCACAAGTATGACAATGGCGTGACCAGGACATTCCCATCATATGTGCAAATTTTTTTGATGGATAATGACCAGATAGAAGTCGGACCGCTAATTTAATATTATATGTTGTGAATGGCAACGCATGGGGGGTATCATGGGCGAAACAGTATACTCTGTTATGTCCACGGTACTGCTCATGTCTATAGGCGACGGTTACCACTTTCCATCCGTTCTAAAGTTACTTAAAAAAATTGAAAATTTAGAGTTTAGGGCTAGGATTCGTATCAGACCAGGGTCGCTGAATTCGATCGCTGTCAACAATTCTTGCATCTGATCTGTCACATTGACGGGAGCGCATCAAAAATAGCCGATCTACTTGACAGGCGCGACGGACGCGCCGACAGTGATGTAATCCGTCCCGTAAATTAACGCGCTCCCGAAATAGTCATACGCCATTTTGTTTCCGTTCGCGTAGGGTTGCCAATTGGCGACATTGCGTTTTTAAAAGATGGCTCTCTTCGTCCAATTCATTACTGAAGGACGTGTCCTTAAAAGGTGTCTGTTGCTTTGAAAGAAGGCAAAAGCCTTTTCAATTAAGCAAATTTTAACAAACACTTATTTACTTTATTACAACATGTCTATTTTCGTCTTGTATTTTTTTTTTATTGAATGATAATGAAATAATGGGGTCACTATGTCATTCCCTTAGCTGCTTTCGACACCCACGAGTAAGGATGGAGTGGCTCATTCTATGCCCGGGCCACAAGTAATTTTTTTATATGTGCATGGTCGTATATACAAAAAAAAAAATAGGAACTTTTCTACTAACGTCGACCGCAGCTGGAATATTTTGCAATTACTTATTTATTCTTTATCGACCACTTTACATAAAAAAAAATACTAATACAAAAAGTGGACTTAATACTAAGCTTAAAGTGTTTAGCTTTATTTTATGTTATGTTCACACTACATAAGATTATTTGAGATACGTTTTTCATATAACTACTACATTATCAATTCAACTACTCCTCTCCATCCAAAGGTTGGCTGCAAGAGATCGCTCTCAGCGATAAGGCCGCCCGTTGTTGTCTCACTGCGATCATTTCTTGTAATTGTTTGTATCTATAATAAGTTTACTATTGTAATCTTATGGAGGAAACAATGAAGAGTATCTATCTATCTATATTTATCAGTCAGGTCGTATGCTTGTCAGCTCTGTTGCAAAAAAATAAATCAAAATTTACTAATTGTAACAACCCTACGCCTTCCAGAGCTCCCGATCAAACGCGCCATAAACTTACTATACATTTAATAGATCATTGATCTTCATCTCAGAACGCTATATTCATATAACGATCGACCTTATTACAAACGAATAGAGTACATATTACAATAGCAAACTACGATTACTGTAATTGTTATTGCACAAAATTATATCCACTTTAAAGGTTCATATTGCAAGGGCGTAGAGTGTATTTTTCAATGTCTCGATCGGCTATTAATTTTGCAAGATGGCTACTATTATTAGAACAGTGCGCGTGTGATTATCTCGCTCGCTCGTTAAGGTCACGCGTCCAGTGAAATTATATTAATTCAATTATATATTTATTTATTTGTTTTATTTATTTATTGCACAATAAAACTTTGTACAAGTGGCGAGCTTAATGCCGTACGGCATCACGGCCATTCTCTACCAGCTAAACATTCGGCACACTAAATATTATTAACCGACTTAAAAAAGGCGACGACAATCTTACGACAATCTTAATACAATAAAATGTCGTATGTAAATGTGTAATAATGAAAAAGTGTTTCTTCTTGTCGGTGCAACCGAATCATGCATTCTCTTCCAGCCAGCTCTATCCTTGACCTCCCTATACGACATGATTCCTAGTGTTGCCTTTATCTGTCCCATGTAGTTATTCCTCGGTCCCTTCCTCTTTTGCCCTCTATTTTTTCTTCTACAACGCTCTTTAAAAAGTATAAGGTGGCCTAGCATGGGAGATATTGAAGAAAAATTTATATAAGGACTTTTAATAGGAAAAACAGACGCAAAACCGATAATTTTTAAAAATATTGTTTACGTGTACGTTTGTTCCGACATCATAAAAAGACTACTGCATCACACTGAATGCAGTTTTCACTGTTCCTGAATTCCTAAATGTTCGACTTAGACCATAACTTCGACTGCCAAAAAAACTAGTGTATGTTTTATCTTGATGCGCTTTCTAGAACTATTCTATTTCATCATTTTTCCAAAGAAGCGGGAAAAAGTCTAGTCATTTTAATAGAAATACATGTTTCTATTACATTACTGACTAGGTAATGTCCGCGGTTTTGAACGTGTAGTGTCTTATTTTCCCTTGAAAATGAAATGTTAAAAAATCTTTACTTATCGGATGCATTTTTTTTTATGGGTGAAAATGAAATGGTAACCTCGCCTGCATTAACGAGATACGCCGGCGGAGCACCACTAAACGGTGATAGATGAGAATGAAAACAGCCCAGTTAGCCCATCATGATGAATTCATCAGGAATTAACCATGATAGTTTCCAGGGAGAATCGCGAGGTCGACCTGGTTGGGCATATTGCTAGCAATGGGATTCTCAGTCTCCGTTACTAACAATCCCTCCCTCCCCTATCGGATGCATTATAAAATAAAACTATGTTTAAAAAAAACAAGCTTATTTGAAATTGAACCATAGTGGCAAATTCGATAATATCTAATCATGTCCAAGGAGAACTGCGTGGAGGTCGACCTGGTAGGCTATATTGCCAGCAATAATATTATTAGACTCCATTATTAACAATCCCTTTCTCCCACTCAATTCATATCTCCGTTATAGCATAGCGTAGCATCCGCCGTGTACGTGCAAGCTAACATCGAGCGTGCCTGATCCTTGTTTTTATAAGCTTTTATCTCCAGCCGCCGTCTTTGTTGCGCTAATGCGTATCCTCGTGCGCCAGACAAGGACGGGCGCCGCTCTCGCGATGACGGACGGCTAAACTAATAGTTTCAGTTATTCATAGGCCGATTTGTGTACACTGTGTACAATCTGGTTGAATAGCCGGCAATTTATTATTTATTTATTTATTTAGTCTAAGATCCCGCTGCTGAATTGTTTACGTAAAAAAATAAACTTTTTAATGAAACTTCATTTGAATGAAATATTAAAGAATGTATAATGCTGCCGGGGGGAAAGGGATTGTTTTTTCTTTTGATGGGTGTAAATTGTATGGTAACCCCGCCTGCGCTAACGGGATACGCTGGCGGAGAACCAGTGAAGGGTGATAGATGAGAATGAAAACAGGCCAGTTAGCGCATCACGATGAATTCATCAGGAATTAACCATGATAGTTTCCAGGGAACCGCGAGGAGGTCGACCTGGTTGGGTATATTGCTAGCAATAGGATTCTCAGTCTCTATTACTAACAATCCCTTTCCCCCTCGGAAAGCGATTGTTAGTAGTTAGTAATCAGGTAGACCTCTACGTGGTCACCCCTGAAAACCGTCGTGCTGAATTCCAGGTGTATTCATCACGATGGGTTAACTGACCTGCCTTTTCATCCTCACCTATCATGCCTCCCTGGTACCTCGCCTGCGTATACCGTATTTTTTAATGGGTGATAATGGAATGGTAACCCTGCCTGCATTAACGGTATACGCTGGCGGGGCACCAGTGAGTGATGATAGGTGAGGATGAAAAGACAGGTCAGTTAGCCCATCGTGATGAATACATTTGGAATTCAGCACGATGGTTTCCAGGAAGACCGCCTGAAGAGAAGAGGTCGACCTGGTTGAGTATATTGCTAGCAATGGGGCCCTTAGTCTCCATTATTATTTTGTGACGATAAAAAAGTTTTTTTTTTTTCTATTGAAGTCTAAAGGGCTTACGTATTTAAAAACTGAACGCCGCGCTCCGGTCAGGATTTGTGGAACAGACTGAACCAAAGACAAAAATTACCTGAAACAAATAATTTTATTTAGTTATTTTATATGTTAATTGTTTTATTTTATTAATAACAATTATATTCTTTTTTTATACAACTTAGAATGGCATACAAGCTGACGGCCCACCTGATGGAAAGTGGTAACCGTCGCCTATAGACATGAGCAGTACCGTGGACATAACAGAGTATACTGTTTCGCCTTGATACCCCCCATGCGTTGCCATTCCTGAGGACTCATGTGTTATTCCTCTGTACCGTGCAAATTCACTGCTATATCGCACCCTTCAAACCGAAACACAGCCATGCGAACACAACTGCTTCACGGTTGAAACACGAATGGGACAGAGGTACCCAAGCAATCGACTTTTGTACCAAGTCTCCCTCTGGTGATACTAGAACTAGGTGTTCTCTTACGGGAGTCCATATCACAAGTAACTAGTTTAGTATTATTTTGTTTAATTCCGCCACCATTAGTATGTGTGAGACTGCCAACACTCGAAGATTGGCGACCACTGTTACTACCAGAAATTCGCAAAATGAATGCGTGATCAACAAAAACGTGAGCAAACAGAATGACATTAAAAATTGATTACTAGGTGTATTGTAGCATTTCTGGTAGTTAATAGTGGTGATCAATCTTCGAGTGTTGCCAGTCGCACACATACTAATGGTAGCGGAATTAAACAAAATAATTCAAATCAAATAATCAATAATATATAGCCTGTGTTACTCCATGATAATGTTAGTTTCATACGCGAAAGAATTATTAAAATAGTTTGAGAACTTTTTCAATTTATCCATGAAAAAGAAACGAACAAACAATCAAATCTTTCCTCTTTAAAATCATAATATAAATAGTTGTACATTACTGTGAACATCTATTTATTAAATTGTGATGATACTTATAAGTGGTTGCATATTCATTTAGCTATTTCGTCATATGGGCAAATAATTAGGTACTGGATTTTTGGTGACTGAGTGATAGTATTGTCCCTGGAATGTTAAAGGAGGAACGAGTTCAAATTTCTTAAATTTCGAAGCCGATGAGATTTTATGATATTATAACATTTAGTATTCGAAATTTAAATCAATCAGTGATAAATTTATACCACAATTTTTTTTATTACGTATCGTAACAAGTAAAAAACGATGTCTGTACAGCCGAGTCAGTTGCCAAGTATCAAAGTGTATATAAAACTGCATCCTTTCCCCGTTCTAAACTATTTAATGCAACAAACATATAACTTAAAACTAAAGCAATAAATATTGCAGTTGTTTGGTGCCAGGAAACTGCGCTCGCCGACTGTCTCCGCTCGCGGTATCTCGCCGCTGTGTTGCCAGTTCATAAATTAAATTGTTTTAAAAGAACGTGAAGTGTAATATCTATTTTAAATTGAAATAAATTTTAATTAAAAATTAAACATTCTTACTTAACAAGTTATTTTTGCAAACTTAAAAAATAATAAGTTTAGTCGTCAACCATTTTTAAAATATTACAAAATATCTAATCTTTCTAAGCGAAAGAGGTTTGTTTGAATCGAAGCATTTGGCGTTCCATTGTTTCTGCCTACCCTAATGGGAGACAGGCGTGACAGATATGTATGTATGTATCTAATCTTTTATTACAAGTATTTGTCTATGTCCTATTTTGAACAGAGACACTTTATAAATAAAATAATTGTAAAACACTACGAATAGTAATTATTTTAAGTTGATGCTTCTAGATGGTTGCATAGAAATATTATCCAATTTTGCCAATGAAAAATAAACTACTTGCTCTGTTTATAGGGGAACAAACTTTCTTATCATCTTTAGTTCGTATTTAAAATTCTAAAATATATTTTAGATATTAAATATTATGATTTGTTTCAATGAAAACTTAACGAAAATGTAAACCGATTAATAATCGAGCCGCCCACAAGATAATGCGCCGATGTCCAACAGCAGTACAAATCGAATGTCGACCAATCGATTGACTATTTCGATTTGTCAGTCGACTTCAAATGGAGGAAAGGGATTGTTAGTAATAGGGACTAATGACCCCATTGCTTAGCAAGCTCTGTCAGGTCGACCGCGTGGTTCCCCCTGGAAACCACTGTGATTAATACTTGTAGCATTCGTCACGATGGGCTAACTGACCTGCTTTCATCCTCACCTATCATCTCTCACTGGTGCTCCGTTAGTGTATACCGATGATAGCGCAGGCGGGGTTACCATTCCAATACCGTTCGATTTGGTTGTATTTTTTTATGTTGAAATTTTGAATATTTGAAACGGAATATATTAATATGTGAAGCAAAAACTTTGTACACCTTTTCACGAAAATTGCGCGGACGGAGGACTATGAAATTTGGCACACTTATAGTTTATACAAAGGAGTGAAAAAAATTTTTTTTTCAAATTATACATAATAAATACATTAAATCGATAAAAAAAAAACATTACACACACTACCATGAATTTGACGCACACACGCATCTATACTCTTTTGTTTATTCTTAATCTGTGGTCAAATTGGGAATAGATTAATATTGTTTTTAATATTTTTTGTCTATAGTCTTAATGAATGTCAAACATAATGATGTGAATAATGAATTCATTTATTACAGTATATGTTATGGTCGTATTTCGACCACGGATCGACCACTGGCATATTGCAATTACTAAGAACAAGGAGTTATTCAGAAGGAGTGATAAAATTGACAATTCATAATTGACTAGTGTATAAAAGATACGGCCGTATAACCCTACCAAATTCAGATACAACCCGCTTGCATACTTTCTACATAAACTGTGTCCAGTATATAATCTAGTAATGTAACATTTGTCATTGACAAATAATTGACATATCAAACATTTTCTATACACTAGCCTGCTATGAATTGAGAATAATAGCAACTGATGGTGTATCTTTCGTCCTCTTTTTACTAATTATATTTGCATAAGAAGAAAGGAGGCAACCATATGATTTACAGTTTTTATTTTATTTCATTCCTACTATGTAATTACACCCTTAGAGACGCTTGGAAATCTAGACTGAACGTGATTAAATCTAGTTTAAAATACAGCGTGCACAGGCTATGGTCAAAGTGGTGAAAGCGTAGAGATCTTAACAGGGCTGGGTTCATATTTATTGATGGGCGTTAGCGGACGCGGAAGCGGGAGCGGGAATGTAAGCATCGAGGTCGATTCAGAGACGTCATATTTATAAAGAAATTTAAGGAATAACCTAATTTGTTAGTCTCGTGGAATTACTCTTTTATGATCCATTATTAACTAAATTTATAATAACTTCGACTTAGAAACTAGTCGTATCCCTTGACTTGATCCGTGTGAATCAATATATTAAGAATCCTATGTGTTAAGTTTTTTTTTTTTTTTTTATAATGGATGACAATGGAATGGTAACAGTATACTCTGTTATGTCCATGGTACTGCTCATGTCTATAGGCGACGGTTATCACTTTCCGTCACTGGTGGACCGTCAGTTTGTTTGCCGTACCAAGTTGTATAAACAAATATATATGCATACATCGATACTTGATACAATTTTATTATAATTCGTAAAGATGAATGATTGATTGACAGACTGATTGATTGATAAGCTTTTATCTATTTGTATTAATACGAGCATAATCAACTTCCAGCAGCAGTATTTCCGAACCGATACGACAACATAACCTTCAAGAAAAGAAATTCCTTTTTAAAAGGCCGGCAGCACACCTGCAATGCCGCTAGTGTTGTGGGTGATCATGGGCGGCGGTAGTCACTTACCATCAGGTGAGCCGCATGCTCGTTTGCCCTCTGTGTTGTAAAAAAAAAACTGTCTTAAACCAGGGTTGCCAGATGGTATTTTTTATTTGTATAAAAAAGACTGTTTCTCTAAATAATCTCTGGAACTATTAATCGAATTTGCTAAATTATTTTTGTATTTGATAGCTCATTTCATGTAGAAGGTTGTATAACATCACAACACGACCACGGGCGAAACCGAGAGATGCATCTAGTCATTACATAGTATGAAACAAAGTCGCTGACGCTGTCTGTTCGTCCTTATGTATGCTTAAATCTTTAAAACTACGTAACGGATTTTGAAACTTTTTCTTTTAATAAATAGAGCGATTCAAGAGGAAGGTTTAGATGTATAATACATGCATAATATTGTAGAGGAACACTGGCAAATTTAGAGGTTTCTAATGTGATGTCGTAAATAAACACATTTTTTGCGCTTACATTACAAACGCTGGCTGAACCCCACGAGATAAATCAAAATAATGTACTTGTATTGTACACCTTAAAAAGGTCAACAAAAAAACTCCGCGATGGTATATGTCTATCTCTTAAGGATAACCCACAATAACCATTTTTTATCCTTTACATTTTACGAGGAAAAATGGCTTAATTACGAAGTGATTTAGCAATATAGCATTAATTTTTATCCAATTAAGTACCTTAAATACATTGTCCATTTAATATAGATCAATATGACCCTTTACAGCATGTAATTTAAATGAATATTTCCAAAGATATTACAGATTTAAAATGCAGGGACATAGCGGTGCGGCGGTACTGTATTGCACCCGTGCGAAGCCGGAGCGGGTCGCTAGTATTAAATAACTAGATAACACTGCCCGCGGCCGCTTATCAATAAAGTTACACACTAAACAAGACCTGAGTACGAACGCAGACAGGCACTTTCCACGAGAAATAACAGGTAAAAATCTTGATGGGCAAGTGGTGTTTTAACCTATTTAATAAAATGACGTCCCATCACTTTGCACGCATATTTACGTTACAGCAGAGAAACAACGTTTTTCCTCGTGAAATTATACGGTAGAGGCACATAGCACCGTGGTCTGTAGGAATGAGGTTTATTGGGTGATAATGGAATGGTAACCCCGCCCGCGCTATTGGTATACACCAGCGGGGCACCAGTGAGGGATGATAGGTGAGGATGAAGGCAGGTTGGCCCATAGTGATCAATTGAACAAAAATTAACCACTATGGTTTCTAG